AGTCACTATTCTGCAAGAACGTTTTGCTAATTAATATGTAAAATTGGACCCTACAACATTCATCGTTGTTTTACTATAGGAGGAATATTTTTCATGGCTATAGACAAAGCATGCGTCTTATATTCAAACCAATAAAAGCATGAACCTGAGTGACGTTTGGTCATGTAAAACAACTTCCTTTAGGTTTCTCTCGTAGATGGTGATTGGTGCTTGTTGTTGATGCTGTTGTTAGTTGGGTGTGTTCACCACTTCTGTCTTCTCTACGTTCACCTGAAGGAGGTCCCGTCTTCCTTCGCTGCCCCGCCTCTTCTGTCAACTTGTTGGTTTTTGCCTGTACATCTTCGAGTTTGTGCTACAGAATACATTAGACATAAATCATCATCGGCGGCGACATCCAAATCTTCTTGTGGGGTCTTTTCATCGGTCCAGCCAGCGTATGCCTCTTTTCTCGCTCTTCATGGTTTGTTGCATGATCCAGTCGACCACAATCAGGAATATCATCGGTGGTGACAGTAGGCGGCAAACGTTTCCTACTCCTGTCTCCACTTGACTGCAAAGACGTCACTGAGCTTTCCATTATGAATCACTTGGCATGTGGCATCATATCGGATATAGCTGTTGAATGAGGTTGATAAAGGTTTCAGGCAGTAAAACCGTAGTGTTGAAGCAAGCAGCTGTCTGCCAGATTACGTTTCAGTCGACGCTGTCGAAGGCCTTTTCAAAATCGATGAAGTTGAGGTAGAGTTGACTGTCATTCTACTCTCTGTTCTATGATGATGCGTAGTGTAGCGTTGCAATTTGATCCGCACATGGTTTATTTTTTCTGAAGCCAGCCAGTGTTTTCCAGTCGTAATTTTGAACCCAGCGCATCCTTTAGTCACTCCAGGATGACGCGGCTCAATATTTTGCTTGGGGTGAACAGCAGCATGATTCCGCGCCAGTCCTTGGAAAGACTTAGGTCTCTCTTCTTTAGGAGTTTGATAAGGCAGCCCTCCTTCCAATCTTCAAGTACCTTACTTCCTTCCAAATCTTCAGCAGTGGAAAATCACTAAATTGCCTGATTAAAATTTTATGAGAAATATATTTTTGCGTAATCCGTAAAACACAATAGAAGTTTATGATTAATGCAGTATATTAAGGTCAAAGTGAGCGGAAACAGTTAGTCTCCTTCTTCTTTATTCCAATGGTGATGATAGTTAAAAACAATAAAGTTCAAAGATTATTTCAACAGTTCGCTGTATCACTTTTCAGTACAGTTAGAAGATATACGGTATTTTAGTCTTGATATGGCAAATACATTTACTGTGATCTAACCAGAAAGTGTATTTTTATAGATGACGTTAACTTGTCACTCTACCACCACCCGTTATCTTACTGAACTTTATTAATTTATTCTAAAGTGTAGTAAAGGACGCCAAGGAAACAACATCTCAGTTGTCAGCTTTTATTTGTCGATAACTACCTGCCATTATCGTATGAATTACTTTGGTCCCTTGAAGTAGTGATTACTCACGAAATATGGGTCTTTGTAACATCTTTCTGAATATTTGCTTGTCCCACTTTGAAAGAAAATCTGTTGACCATTATATGTTAATTACAAGATGTGCATATTTGGTGATTGGATTTACGGTGTGCTTACCGTGATACCTTACGTTCCTCGGTCCGATTTATAGTGGGGTTGTGATCGCGCACTTCCGAGGAGTTCCATACTGGGACGAAACAGCTTTTCGGTGGTCTCGGGTTTCTGATGGATCGCCAAAGGATGTCAGTCCATGAGTATTACTACCATGGAATTGGAAAAGCTATTATTTTGAGGTTTACATGACTGGAAGACTTGTCAGTGCTAAATAATGAATTCCCTGTGAATTTTCAACTGTTGGATCTATGTAGAATACCTATAGCATAGGATGTTGATCGTGAAAATCAGTCTCAAGTCGTAATGGAGATTAACATCGCTCCACTGAAAGTTTACAGGTAGAATATATCTAAATTAGGCTGAAGTATTAAAAGTACCAATTAGGATATGAAGGAACAAGGACAACATGTACTTTGGTACATTCTCCTATGCACCAGTATTTTCTAACATCTTGAGGAACAAAGCTTCGCATCTGACAACCCTATTTTGCGTGTATTAATTCACCTGATCTTTTGTAGCCAGGTATAAAACTCCTTCGTCATGAATGTTATTCAAAAGAGTTTAAGAGTACTACCTTGAGTGGTCATAACGAAGTAACGGTAGATATATAAAGAAGCGGTACTAATGAACAAGTTTTGAACATGGGATAATCTATCTCAAACACCTCCAAATTCAAGATCATCTATGAGAGGGAAAAGAGACTTTCCAAGGACTGTATGTCCTCTTATTGCCTGTATCTTCATAACTCTTGGCATTCATATGAAGAAGACTGAGTTTTATACGTAACAGGAACTTGTTCATTGCCTTATTCTTTCATGGTCTGAATTAAAAGTCTTTGAAATCACTTCTTAAGTAATTCATCAGTTATTATTTTCTCCATGCCCTTACTCATAATACTTGATTTCCAAGCATTTTACCATGTTAGGTAACTTTTTTTTCGAAACTTGGTAATCTATATTCCCTTCCAGTTATATTCCCATCAATCTTCACCATTCATCAAAACTTTTGGTAATAGTGATATTTTTGTTGTTATCATGCCTAATAAACCATTACTAATTATAATAATGACAGCAAAAAAGGTGCATAAATTCGCGGCTGTACAGCCTGGAGGATGAGATCACTGAAAAGAGTCTCTCCGTCTGAGTACCCATAGTTTATCTCCTTTAACTCGATGTATATAAATGATATTGGTTACTTTTGCAAGAAAATTGCTGGTGTGAGTATATACCCATTTACATAATCATGTTATCATGGTAAATGAAAATGATTTTTTTATCCTGAATTGATTGAAGATGCATTATATTTGAGAATAAATTCTGTTAGACATTTCAATGTCTTATCTAGCTTGTTTTAATCAAGTGCAGTATATCTATTGCTGTTAGCGTGACAAAGAGTCTTACTTGTGAAACTCTAATGATGGTGACTATACAGAATTATGCTATGAGGCAATTTGAAATTAAACTGCATTTCTTGACGCATTCTCCCATACAAAGTGTTTTTTTCAATGTTTCTAACTCCACACTTATTACTTATTATTTAGACAAGCATTTAGATGATGATGATGATAACAGACTCAAATCTGACCTATGGAGATTTTTAGGGTAAACAATTTTCTGCTCTACTCAGATATATTTTCACCACTTGGTACTAATTAATTGAAGATTCTCCCTGAATTACTCAGTGGTGATACTGTTTATTAAAATATTTGCTGAGTAAAAAGATTCCAAGCATAATCACATTTACCACTCTGCTTTTACATCGAAAAGTGAGGAATTTGACATATTACCATAAAAACTTCATTTGTTTGACCTTATATCCTAACATTTTCTTATCTAATATACCAGATAAACAGCTTTAATCACCAAATACTTATTGGCCAAGGTTTCACACTCACTAGGGGTGAATAAGATTTATACCAGTTTTATCCAAAGCAGTTTCTAGGTCATACTTTGCAATGATAGCTTTAGTTGATGAACATTTGTACATCATACAGGGATAATAGTTGGAGTCGAATCTGTCGCCCATTTTTTTCGATAATTTATTGACCTTTAAATACCCTTGGTTGCTTCATGTGAAGTGAAAAATCTTGTTAAATTCTGATAACTATCTCTTTTTGTCTATTGTGCATAACTAAGTACTACTTCTCCCGGGAATCAGTAACATTCACCCAACTGTATTGGATACAATGACATTTTGAAGGATGTGAGCGCCCTAAAATGTTAGGCTACTGGATTCGATCCAGGTTGGAATTAAATGACTAAATGATATTTGACACCTGTGCTGATTCAATCAAATTCCATCAATTTCGTTTCATATATAGTATAAGACAGGTGTTGATGGTACATATTCCCTTTGACATTTGCTACACAACCGTATTTACGAGAAAAAACAAATGAAGAGATATGTTTTTTTCGCCTCAGCCTGTATTCTATCCCAATTCATTCTAGTATGCAATAATTAACGTATTTAGAAAAGTGTCCGTCAATAGCATATATACTAGCAATTTGATATGTATGAGTTTGATGACTGATGTTGCACCGAAACTCTAAGCCATTACAAGATTAAACAGCACCAACCACTAGGAACTGACTCAGCACCCTACCAAGATACAAGATCCAAACGTTAACCAGGTATCCATTCCGCTTCCATTATCGAAATAACTGCCTGGTTTTGTTGTGAGTCATCAGCAGTTGTCTATTCTTCATTACATCATCTGCTCAGCTAGATCTTCTCAGTTCAATCTGAATCAACTTAAATTTAGGAAATGAGAGCGATAAATTGACTGTTAACTTTATGATGTCAGATATCTTCGGTTAACAAGCTCTGTTCACTGTAAAAGCATTTTGACTCATGATGAAATGAAAGTTGAAATCATGGTAGAATTCCAACAAGTGAATAACAAAAACTATACTAGGTGGATAATCAATAACTAACCATACTTTTCTAAAACCAGCGGAAATCACCGAAAGCATAAATACCTTATGGCAATCTATTGAAAGTTTACATTTCTGCATTATGTGTTAGGTATCGTTTGTTCATAGATGTAGACCTCCGGTTGTAAAAAACAGCATGGATTCTTACATTACATTGTATTTCGTAACCCTTTCAGTCTTCATCTTTAACAGGACTCAATGCATCATTGTTATACTACTGGGGAAGATTAGCACTCTGATAAAGGTGAATGTAGCAACTAAAATAATGAACAGTGATTCAGTTATCACTATGAAAGTGTGTCAGCTGGGTTAAAATGAAAGATTCTGAATGTCTCACTGCATGCCTTTAAATAGTTAAACTTTTAAAACAGTCTGAACATTTTCTTTCACCAAGTACGTATGTATCTACCAGCAGAACAAACAAAACAGAATTAATACTTATGTTCTTATTATGAGAATACATATACATTTTGACATATCTGTTTAGAAAATATCATTTCGATTTGAAAATTCATTTTTTTTAAAGGTTTGTTCCTATTTCTTGATATTTCTTTTAGTTGAAGGACTGTCGAAGCTCTTTGTTCAACCTTTTCTCATTATCCAATAGTTCTTTGGCATAGATTTTATAAGCTTCGAAATCCTATGATGAGACAAATTTTTAAGAGAATAAGAAACAAACAAATATAAGGTCAGTACGTTGAGAATTTGTGACAAATTTGCACCCATTTCTCATAGTAGTTGGTAATAGTCAAGGAATATTGTGTAGCTGTGCCATCATGTCTTAGAAAATATATCAGTAAGAAGCCATCCCTTCTCTTTCAGATAGAAATAAAACCCTCCAGCTCTACAAAGTAGGAACTGAGTAACTATCAAACACCGGCTGAATTTCGACAAAAATAACTATAAACCAAAGACACAAATTTACTAGGGTGACTTTTTCTATCAAATTCGGCTTTCAGCTGTCAAATCGAATACCCTGAACAACATGATGTGTCCCTACATTACCAGTACAATTTTATAGAAATCCTGCTATTAGAGAAGCTAAAATTTACATGGAGGGAAAAACGTTTCATGCCAATAGTAAAGAGGTTTGTTGTTTGATTATTGTAACTACCCGTTGCTACACAGGATTGAATTACTAGATCTCCGTTGGCAGATGAGCTTGTATGCGGACGCCCTGATACTACCGGATATTCATGATGTTGTATTCATCTTGCTGACTCGCAGTGGAATCCAGGACATGCGTTTCTTCCCATTTGAGGCTCGTCGGCCGGTGGTACAAGCTCTTGAGTGAGTGATGTTGTTCCCACTGAGATTCAAACACAATAACCATCACTTCATATGCCAAAGCGTCATCCACTAGGCCACTGGGAGACTCCAGTGTGAGTCACCAAGAAGGAAACAACATCATGAATACCTGGTAGTATAGAAGCATTCGCAGAAGAGCCCATTTGCAAACAGAAGTCGAGTAATTTAATCATGTATAGCGACGATAAATTACAAGTATCAAATAACAACAAATGATACCCGTCGCACAACTAGTGGCTTTCGTGCCTAGTGGTTTAGTGGATAACACTTTGGCGTTTGAAACGATGGGTACTGGGTTAAAGTTTCAATGGGAAAAACTTCACTCACTGGAGTACACCTATATCCAGCTGAAAAGTCTCAAATAGGACGAAAGTGCATCCTGGTTTCCACTGCCAGCTATTAAAATGAATATGGTAAAGAGGTTCGCTAAACGAACTCTCAGAGGACCTTTCATAACGGATTGAAAACAATTTGGAAACTGAAGCCACTGAATACGTGTTTTGCTTTAGTTTGGGACTCCTCAACAATGTCCACTCATAACCCTGTTAGAGATGCAACTCATAACTGTCAAGATTCAGGATTAGCAAGTTACTATTCAGCCAATGGGTTGGAACCTTGCGCCTAACAGTTTTCCACCTTATGAGATAGCTGGTGCACAATGGTAAAGAATTCTGAACTAGGCCGAAACATCTGTAAAGTGTTTTCATTTTTTCGAAGGTTCTCCAGCTGATGTCATCACATGGTGAAAATGAGTAAACCACTAAAACCTACCAACCGAAATAAACTGTAGGTCAGATGGTTTAATTCCTCGAAATGGATTTCGGGAAAACTGTCCTTTTCTCAGTAATCTAACTACATTTTAGTAATAGACAAAATAAGTTATCCATCTTCCTACTGGTGTATGCACTCTGTAATGTACCATAACTAGGTTATTATGAATATTCTTACACTAGCAGGCTCGTTGTAATTATCTTCATGCCCAATAGTCCCACTCCAGATGCTCAATTTGTCGTAATGTAGTATATAATAAAAGTATACTGACTCAAGAGTAGGTCTCGAAATTATTGTAAATTGATTGAATCTAATGCTTTTTATAGCCCCGTAACCTTGAAAAGCTGATTACTTCTAAAGGCGTCCCCTTCGATAAACTGTTTGCTCTTTGAAATGAAGCCTTTCTTTATGAACCATCTTCTTTCATTTATCTTATATGAAACTAGATACTTCCAACTGTTCACTGTACAATTTATAATCGCTCGGGCAAGCCAGAAAGCGGTCGTTCTTGTGGTCCTTAAAAACAGAAGATATGAAGTATTTACACGTTTTTGAATATAAGTCCCTTCAAAGCCTTGCTGATGTTCGGTGGAACCAGTATTCAGGTAAGGCATAGACAATTTCTCGAGGAATTTAATTCGATGGATGGGGCCACTGAGCATCTCAAGCTATTTCCTATCGCAACGCGCAGTGGTTATCGAAATAAGAATGGCGTGGAAGGTCAAAGGTGACAAATCAATTCCCCAAGAATCTTCAAACCTAATATATTTTATGAACTTGAGCTGAGATGTGTAATTTAAAGACGAATTTGATCTTACAGATTTGCATTTTGCAAGTACATTTCTAAAAGTTCAACAACAATACTACTGGAAAAAACCTCTTTTACGATAACGAAAACTGAATAAAGCAGAATAAAATTATGGTATTAGAATACATGATAATAGAATAATGTGCTTTAAAGCAGATGTAGGTGGCTGTGGTTTGTCTAGTGCTTAAGGAAATCCAGTTATGTCCGCACCATACTTTCCGTAAAAAGCTGAAGAGTTATTTTACTGTCATTTTTGGGATCCATGATCCCTTCAACTATGGGTTAAAATAGTTGACTGACAAGTCTCCTCAACAAAATTCAAGGTTCCAACGGCCTCTGTAGTCATTTAAGTTCATTTCTTGATTATTCCATATGTTCATGTATTGCTACTTTTAAAAAGCGATAAATGTAATTTGATGTGCCGTAGTTAATTTTATGATAAGGATACATTACTCAGATATCTATTTCATCCACCTAAGCAATTATCTACGCTGTCAGTATCACATGGATAAGATACTCCTTATTAAAAGTCAGAAGAAATGTTTTATCTCTCAATTGTGAAGGTGAGTAGTCTTAATGCATGTAAAGAAGGTAATGCATCATAAACAAGTATGCTATTTTTTTCTGTTTCGAACTTTCATATGAATCAATTTAATTCTTCGCTGAATAAACAAAGCCATAAACTGTATATCTTTCTGGAATTTTTTTCAAGATGAAAACATTTAGTTGAAACCTCTCTACCACATGACGCTACGTAGGCTAAGAATCAAACAGACTGAGTGACGTTTTCTAGTCAGAGCTCATACTGGTCCAAACAACAAGAACATCGGTTTTAATTATGACAGGAACATAGCACTTTAGTACTTTGGTTTGTTACGCATAAACTAAGCTCAATTCAGAAACTATCGTTCTGTTAGTCCGCCGTGCATGTAAATAACTCCTTCAGTAGGCTGGACATTGGTAAGTAATGTTATATCTAGTGATATAACCGTCTTGTCTTCAATATTCATAATTTTGATATGCCCTACAAAGCCGAATACATCCTTTACACTGAATCTCACCAATTCTCGATGTTGAGTTTCTAGGGCTGGTAATAACCACTTTACTGTTGAATGATGCGGAGATTTCGATGTCTAAAATTGGGCTTATCTGAATTCCCCACTTGTGGAATTTCGGTAGGCCATCCAATCTAGGTATATGTGTCTCTGACGGTTTCAGTGTATCGAATGTGAACTTAGACAGCAGGTTCTGTCCCATCATTGACTTAAGAGCCCTGGTAAGCTGGCGTTGAACTGCTTCTATTATGTCTACGTGGTTTCCTAATTTCTGAAACTCTGTTTGGTCACCGAAACGGATCATCTTATCCATGTGGTCACATTTGTTCACGATAACGGTACCAGGTCGCACTCAAAAGGCTGTATCCATGCGTACTCGTGAACATGTAACAGCTTAATTAGGGAAAGGAATGACAAAGTGCATCAGCAGTGCAATTATTTTGCATTTAGTAGATAGTGGACATCAAATCAGGTTAGATCCCGGCTTTCCTGTGATACATCGTGCTACTTGCAATCTCAACCCCCCCCCCCAACTCCTCTCAATACTGTCAAAGCAGTAGGAATTAACACATGAGAAATCTATTTATGTGTTCAAAAGGAACACATGCATTCACTTTGTCTACCTTGACCCCCAATAGAGTTAACACTTTCTTTATGAACTTTTCTATCATAAATTTCACATTTCAACCTCCCTTTGCATCGTATCCCAATCTTTTATTTCCCCTTTCTCATTTAACTGATACGCAATTATTTATATAAGTTATTAGTTTTATTCCTGTGTTTATTCACACTGTTACCAGTTATCATTTTCAACCTGTAGTTATCACTTCACATTTGTCATTTCGTTATTTTATTCATATGATTTTTTAACCTACTTGGATGTTACTCATCGCTACATAGTGATTATTTGATCCTTAGTAAACACACACACACATACATACATTTTTACCTCCTTATACAGTGATTGTTCTGTTCACGTTGATTTTATTGCACAAATAACACTAGACTGATTACCATTCTACCTCATGAAAACTTCCATCCAATTGATTTGAATTTTATTTACCCATAACACTGACTGTTTCATTATCGAAACAGTTTGACACTATGCCTTACATTGGCTATTGTTTATCACCTATTCTCATGGATTTATAACTGTAGAGCCTGAAAAGGAAGCTATTGAAAATAATTGTTAGCTCAAATTACTCTTGTTCCAAATAATCTATGGAAGTTCTAAAATTACTAAAACTCTTTTGTCATGAAAAAACACATAACAACACTGGAACATTAACAACAACGAAATGAACCATGATAGTGCCATGATGAAGTAAAGTAAGTGTATAAACCATCTAAACATTCATAATACGAATACAACTTAAACAAAAAATGATTAACTTACCTTTTATTCAGTGAACTTAAAAGTTAACAAGATTTTCTGATAAGTTCATTTTTAACTCAGAAGTCTCATTATAAGAATTTTCACTGGTTATTTGTACAGACAACACATTCAACCCTATTAGAAGAATGCTTCACTCTACTTGGTAATGCAGACACAGTAAGGTGTTTTATGCCTCTCACTGATAAAAAAATGCATAGAAATGGCAGACGAATAAACTTCAAGAATTCAAACTAATCATCCACAAAAGAGACAAGAATATTTCGTGGAGGTGTAAGAGGTGCGAGATATCTACTGAATGACAAAGGATTTTATGGTTATACTACTCACTTAGATTAATTCGACTGCACTGTTATCCCTACTAATTAACTAATTGGTAATCATACTAGTAAGATAATCCTATTATAAGAGACACTTTAAATAAAATGAAGTTTTAGTCCGCTATAGTTGAACGCTTTAGCGGCTAATAAACTTGTTGGTTCTTGTTGACTTGTGTTTTAATTATTAATCATAGGTAACTGCGACTAAATTATCAACTGGTGCATTCAATAGTTATATTACATCATAGTTTTCATTACATAATACTGGGTTGTATTGTTCCTCTACAAAACAGGAGGAATCCACTGTTTTTGAAGTTAAAATGTTGTTTACTTGATGAATGCAAAGTTATAGTTGTGCTTAACCGTACGATCTAGGGTATATGTTCTGTTTTAAAACTTATAGTTTGGTGTACTTGCGTTCACATCAGTACTGCTACCGATTCAAGCTTAGGATATATTGCTTCAAACCACATAGCTTTCTCCAATAGGTCACTTATGAATTTTGAACAGAAAGAAACCTGTTGCCTGTAAGCTTTCTCTTAGAGCATCAAGATACTGCAATAATAAAGCATCTGTTAACATTAAAGTAATTACAGATTTCATCTATAAAACAACTGAAACCCTTCAATTTAGTTCTATCCATAGACACCAGAAATATCAACATTAGGTCAAAACAGACGTAAATCATTTAACGCCAATAGCACATAAAAATCAACTGATTTTCTTTGTATCGGTTAGAAAATATTAAAATGTCTTAGTGAAACTCACTATTGTGGACTTAATTCGATAGAAACTGGATAGTAATAATCAACATCTTCTAGGAATAGTATTAGAAATACTAATAACAGTTAACTGAAGTTATATAAGGTTTTATGTACAAAAAAGGCTAAGTGTTACATAGTATTGATCAATGCTTATTATGCAACCGAGTTTTCAATACCATAGTATGAAGAATGAGTTTAAATACTCGATTTGACAGTTAGTTCATGAAAAACCAAAATACTGAGCATCAGTTCCACTAAATTCTTTACGAATACAAACAATTATTACCATAAAAATCATAGCACACTTATATTCTTAAATAATTGCGAATATAATTAGTGTCACTGCCATAAGATACTAGTATACATTGTATGATATTCAATACTGTAGCATTACGAAGTGATTTCCAAGATAACTATATTCCATCTAGGTATCTTAATGTTTTTAAGAAACCCTTTATTCAATTTTTAAAATGACACATAATGCAAACTATTATACTACCTGAAAACAATTTGATTAAAGTATAAAGTTTTCTGACCTTAATTCGTAAAGTTAATCCTATGTTAAGCATGACTTTCTATAATTTAATACAACATTAAAACTGTTTGCTCACTCATTATTTTACATTGCTAGAAAAAGCATAATGTGCATCATCTCCAACTAATCATGATCAGTTTAAAGAAGTACTTCAAAAAGACTTTATTCCCTATTATTTGTTTACATCATTTCCATCATTATTTGTTTGGTTTGTTGTAAACCTGTGCATTTTCCTAATTATTTATTGGATAGTTAGTGAAACCCTGATAATTTCACTAGCCAATGAAGCAGCATATTCTAGACTTATTTTATGGAACATTAGTTATGCATTGAAAGTAACTGAAACCTTAAGCAACCAGAGTAATTTCTATCCTATAAGATTTGTTACAGTGACATTATACTAGCAACTAAAAATGTAGTACAGAACTGCAAACTTTATTACAAGGCTTTCATCAAGTAATGCGCTAAAAGGTATTCCATTAGAAGATAGAACACTGTAATAATATGAACTGTTTGACCAACAGCACCCACTGATTAATGACTAAGACACTGTTATCGTTTTAGTTTTTGTTCAACTCACTTTATTTTGAACTTCTAAAGTTGATCTTGTGAATCATTTAAGCTACAGTTATTGGAAAGTCATTAGTATGATGAGATAAACACTACGTAAACAGTCGACAATAAACTCCTTTTTGTTCTTTGTAATTTTCGCGTTTCACTTTTCACTTTTTACTTATATGGTCTGCCATTTAAAATTGAGATGACCTTCTGATCGTATAGTTTCTGGTCTTATGATCATCATCGGTAAATAGACATGCCTTGATAGTTTAATTGATTCATAACAAAATCTCGGGTCTAAAAATTGACGATTTGACGTTTATTACAAATGAGGAAACAAAAATAGCACCAGATGAGGATTATAACAAAATATACAATAGTCATTTCATACACATATCCTACTTTGATGACTTCGGTCACATGATCTCTATACTAGAAAAGTTTCAAAGGAAATTTCTCAACGTTGATGTCCTCCTTCTATCCATTTCAAACAAAATGATGGATAAAATCCATTTAGCCCTCAGGACTACACCCCATAAAATTGGTTACTCTCCGTTGACCAATCAATGTACTCGATTCGATCCTACAGGAAATCAATCACTACCCGAAACGCTTAATGATAAAGTCTCTAACTGCAACACTGGGTGATATGGTTGTAAATCTCAGAAGAGTATTCAGTTCACTCGAAGTTGCAGATACATCTTGCTTACGAGTACCAAAAGGCGGAAAATCTAAGTCCAGGCCTACCTGCTGATTACTTCTAACGCAGTTGATATTTATTGATCCTCTTAGTTCCCTGTTGATTATTATACTGGATAGAATTGACCGACCACTCTTGACATATGGGTTGCTTCAACAGAAGTCTGAATATTGCATCAAAGAGCCTATTTGCCAAAAATGACCGATCAATTCTATCCAGTATAATAACCAACGAGCAATTACAAGAACCAATAAATAACTAATGACACCCGTTGCACAAAATGTAATCCGCATTAGCCTATTGGGTAACGCTCTGGCGTTTGAAGTGATGGACGCCTGAATAGAAACATCTTCGCTCATCAGGATGCAGTTACATTAAGTTGACGAGTCCTGACCAGGATGAAATGCATAGCCTGCATCCCAGCAAGTAAACAACATCATAAGGACAGCTGAACCTTCAGGCAAATAATTCACTTAATTAAAATTATGCTGAAGTATTCAGTAGAAAGCTTTTCGATAATCATAAGTTTTTAACAAGGTATAAAAGCCTTTTACGCTTTGTCTAGAGGCATCAATAAGATATCAGATTCAGATACAACTTGTCAACAGGTAAAATTCTGAAAAGTAAAGTTTCAAATTAAAAAAAAAGAAATTATACCTGTTTCGATTGCTGCAATTCTAATTTAGAATTATTGAGCTCCTCATTTAAGTATTTTATGTGTTTGTTAGTGCTGAATTCTTTCATTTCACGTCTATAGAGTTGGAATAAATGCAGAAAGCAAACATCAACGAAAACACTGAATTCAACCGATCCATATTGTCAACTGATCGCTTTGATAGGTAAGTTATTCATAGAATAGCTTGGAAAATATTTAAAAATTGAATAACTGACGTCGATGCTTTCCATGGGTGAGCAATTTTAAGCCAACTAGTATAATCTATTCATGTTAGCTAATTCAACGCTGGTACTGAAAAAAATTTCAGCTCCTTTAGCTAAACCTATCTCCAAACATGAACTTAAAGTTAGAATCGACCGAGTTGAACTGTCAGTTACAATATGCTTACTTGTGAAATATATCTGTTGTTTTTTTGTATTGAACTACTGATGTCACTTCAGTAGTAGATTAAATGCTTTTCCCATCCATAATCACAGAGATTTTTGTGGGATTTTATTATCCCATTGAACCGTTTTAATTTCTAGTCTTTGATTCAGTGATTCCATTATCTGAAAGACTTTCAGATTCTCCTGTAGGCTCTAACTTTTCAGAAAAGAATATAGAACGCGAAAAGCCAGTCAGTCTATACATATATTGGCCAGGTTTATGTTAGGATACAAGATGGTTGACTGCCGCAGTATTAAAAACATACACAAAGTAAAATGAAAGTTATATATCCGATATACCGTTTAACTACAATGTTTCAGGAAAAGAAAAACAATGGATGAGGAAGATTAAGGGATAGAGGATCATAATGTGTTTACACGATAACTGCAACTGAGTTTGCTCTATACTTGACTAATGCAGACGAAGGGGTTAAAAGTGTTTCTTTTAGATATCTAAATCCTACTTTCTCTCAATGATTACTATTGCTTCAGCCATGCACACTAGGCGTATCGATGCGCCTTTTGACAAATTACTTAGCAGTCGGTACATTACCCGTAAGATATAATCTATTTGATCTAATTTGATTCAACGTTCGCTGTCTCATTGGTTTTACAACCCCTTCATCAAGTCAAGATGGTACATGTCCTCTGAGTACGATCTATATGACTACCTCTACAGGAGTATTGAAATCAAAATTCACTGAAATAATCAGTAACTTCACCACTGTTTCATGTTAAACCCAGTTACATTTGATTCGATTTATTCATTATATATGCTGTCCCAATCATAGTTTTCTTGATGTCGCATACTGATTACTCGATGATAAAATTCATAAACTTACAACGACATACCCCGAGAAAAAGCTATTGAACACTTATGTTCGCACAAATAGCTATTATTTTAAACAACAGATGTTCATGAAAATATGAAGCTATTCTTTGGTATCATAATTCTAAAGATAAAGAGTTCTGAAATAGATCATGTGCTTATTCCACTTATTCATAAGTATAAATTTCAAAGAAGTAAGTAAAAGCCATACACAATGATATCCTACGTTGAAAAACTCAATACTGTATAGATTTTGAAGTTGTGAATAAGTGATTTAGGCATTCAACCGAAAGATACTAGGCATTTCATATATTTTGGTGAGAGTAGCCTGATAGTTATTAACAACTTCACACAAGAGTCTTGATTGGTAGAATAGTACACAAGGCTATATCTGGTCATACAATTACTGTGGTTCACTAAAACAAACATTCAAACTCCATTCAATGTGATTCGAATCCCACTTCGTATACTGAAGTTTCAGTGATATAATTACGGTAGAATGTAATTCCATATTAGATTCGTTTACTTGATATAGTACACAATGATACAGTATTATTTGAGGGATGACGTTTTGAGCATAGAATATTGGCCATAATGAGATTAAAGTATACATGTAGCGTCGTTCCTATTATATGTGTGGTAGGTGTCGATTCGATGTACAAAGATACAGTAATCAATCTCACTCTTCATCTCTATTGGAATTAATTAAAGTGGTTACATCCGACACTATTATGTAGTTGTGTTAATGCATGGATTGCAACAGCAGAGCATCCTTTCCAGATTACTGATCCCATTCGGAGTCACTCATTCTACATTTAGTCAAATTCTGATGTTCCGATGATCTGACTGACCCCAACCGCCTAGTTTGACTTATGCACGTGACTTCACAGATATCTCATGGAATTTGGTAGATTAGATTACTTTTTTAATTGGGTCTATTGGATCCTTAAGCCAACAAAGCTTAACTCCGAGTCAGTTTATAAGTTTGGACGCCCCCATAGTTCCATAGTTGGTGAGAGTTCTATGTAAAGTTTCCTATCTTCCTTTTTGAATGATAACATAGCAAAGGTTTTAAACTCCATTCTACTTGCGTTGCTGTTATTATACACATTGGCATTACTGTTATTACTTCGTTTATGTGTTCTTACGAATTGCTTAATAAAATGTAGAGGATGAAATATTAATAACTGGCGTTTCACTTATATATTCCAGTAGTTAGATTACCATACTAGTTGATGATTGCAGGTGAAATGCAAATCTCGGTAGCGGCAGGATTCCAACCACTAGCCACCAGATCACCGGATTAATGTCCTACTAGTTGAGCTGCGGAGGCCTCTGGTAGGAATCCTACCATGACTCATATATTCACTTCACTTCCAGTCATCACCCAGTATAATTCAAGTGTGCTAAACCATGGTTATCCCAGACAGTCAAAATGACAACATCATTATCTCTTAAGTAATGGATGTCATTTACCGTTTAGTGCATAACTTATAAGCAGTTTTTGAATTGCATATATGTGGTAACACTTCAAATTTACTTTTTGTGTAGCATGTATGTTCTACATATTGAGTGAATAAACATAATAACTCATGTTATTACTAGACATTAAGTTTATTGAACTGAAAACCGATGCATTTGTGTTTCTATTATAAAACAACAAATTATATTCAAATTATGACTTACTCTCTTGCTTCTTTCAATTTAATTACAGTATTCTCCAACTTAACTTTATCTGATTCGATGCTACTCATTTTCATAAGGGTTTCCTGGGAATAAATCACACCATAATAAGATTGAATACTTACTTTGTAATAAATAAAAACATTTCTGTCTAAAGTGATTTGGAAAGTAATTCACCATAATTTTTTAGTGGTAAGTTAAGCGTTGGTGATGAATTCTCGACTGAGCTGATTCGTCAATCAAAAATGGTTTTTGAAAATTTAGAAGTATTTTTAAAACATTATGTGTGATATTACCGAAAATCTAACCTTTGCATCCCATAGGACTGGAGTCTAAGACCATCAATCACTCAGAACCTATTTCTTATATCAATATAGTTATTATCTCTTATGACCTAAGAGAAATTCTAAATCTTAATAACATACCTTAGACATACCGATTTTTTAATTTTTATTTTTACAAGTGGTTACGGAGCTTGTTGACTTAGGTGGTTGACTTTCCACCGGTAGGTGATGGATTCGGATTCCTCTCCACCTACTAAGGTGTTGGCAGTCAGCCTTCACACAACAGATGTTGCTCATTACCTACTACATGAAAGTGTACGTGGTTGTGAAGTGTATTTCACTTCTCGATTTTGATTCTTGATAGTTCAGAATGAATTTGAACATTTTTAAGTACTGTTGTTTTATTATTTATGAAGACAAGCACTCGATCATGAAACTGTGTGATGATCACATTATATCTTGATAGACAAAAGTAGAAGAATGTGAATCGTCGAATTGCTACCCACTGACAGAATGGTAACAAGTGTTCCAAAAGACCTGATGTACGCGCTTGTAAGTCTTGAACTAGGACCAAACTGAAGTTCAGTGCTTACAACTTTCCATTGGCTCTCTAAATGATATGAAAAACTTTTGTTTTTTATTCGACTAGTAAAAGAAATTCACTACACATCAGTCCTCCTAAATAACTGTCTTACGGTTTTCAATTAAACCCAAAACAATAAAGTAACAGCTTTGTGCTTATGATGAGAAGTGAAAGCATAAACTACGCTTCAAATAAATGCCTACAGTGTATAGTAGTTTAAGTAAAACTTGCTCACTATGTTAGGATGTAATTCGATTTCAATTAGTTTCTTAGGTGTATCACATAGTGAAACAGTATTGTCAGCTGAATAACGTTTTGAATGCAATTCATTGGCCACAGTTACACCGTTTACCTTAATATAATTATGAGCAATAAAATGTGTCTCAAACGTTATCCAGAAAACAACACTGTTCCCTTGTGTAATACCTGTAATAAATTGACTGAAATGGAATAACAGGGCACAATGTAGAACAATTCTAAGCTAAGAACAAGATATAATCCATAACTCAAATTTTTTGAAGTGTTTCTTAATTTTAAACCTAGGTTAAACAAGAAGCCTATGCAAACTAAATAGGTCATATAATTCATTTAAATGATAGTACTAATTTATACTGATATGGCGACTAACAAGTGTTCGTAATGAGATATCTATTCCGAAATCGATTTATGACATTTGTGCCGTAAATGAAGACTTCACCCGATATCTTAGCTACAAAGAGGAAAGTAAACAGCTTAGTGAATATATAATTCTTAAAATATGAGCATGTTTTCAGTATATGATTAGTAATTTTTTAGATAAATTGGGTATTAATTAAGCAAAAAGGCTAGAAAATATGTTTAACCACAACTTTTCTTAGCTTAATAATCCAAGTATATTATAATTGCAACAAAAAAGGCTTCATGATAGTCAAACTGAGGTTAAAGTTAAATAATGCAATGTGAACAGTATTTACAAGTAAGAACATAAAATTTTACTTCATAGGAATTTGATTGGCTGCACACAACCTAGGTAAGTAATCAAGCACACTTTTATAGTAGATTGTCAGTATCATTTGTCGATGCGAAGATATCCAGCTAACAAAAACTTAAGTCAAGTGTCTTTTGGTTATTTATCTGCACCGAAGATGAACAGTTTAAGTCTAAGATGTCAACTCTGCACCTAAAATTGCGCTTGTTAATTTGCACATAAGTACGTGAAGTATACACTTTCAAAGAATATACCAACATTTACATAAACAGCTTTTTAAGCATTTATAAAAGAATGTAAGCTTCATACGTTACGTTTCTCTGAATGGTATATTAACCTGACACAGAATGGACATGGGACATGAAATTAGCGTATCAAAAGCTTTCACAATCGTCAACGGTCAGAAGGAGTTTAGTACATTTCAGTTTATCGAAACCATACGCATCATACAGGTAAGACCCAAAATGTATTTCCAAAAATATATGATGATCACTCTCCTCCTTAGTTAAAAATCACTTTTTCTCTAAATATTCAACATCTGTACGAAACCCTTTTAAACTTATATTTATTTCTCTTCTGACTCCTTTTAACTTTAAATTATTACGTGTTATTATTATGTAATCCACCTTTTGTTTTGGTAAAGATATCTTTTTCTATGAATACGTAACCACCCTTTAGTGGTTCTAAGTTGTTTACACCTAATGTACAACATTCATCTTTCCATCTTTTAAGTCCTAGTCGAGTTTGATTGGACTCATAGTCCTGAAAACTGAGTAGTTATTTCCTTAACTCTAAGTTTTCAAAGCGCAAATCCCCAAATTACATAGGGTTTTTTCACAAGAAGTTTTGTGTTGGTTTCCTTAATATTTAAGTTACCTATTCAAGTTGTTTGCAGCTGATGAAAATCCACCTGAGGTAAAACGATGTTAGTTTATTTAGCTGATACTCTTCTTACTGTATTTTATCAATGGAAATAAATATATAGGATGCATTAAGTCCTGAAATCTGACTGACTAAATTCACTAAGAAGCAAAAGCACATGATTCGTGACACTTTAAGGAATATGGATACAAGCAAGCAGATAGAAGCAGCATATTTTCGCCTCCCTCAAAGTGCTTTATGCATCATTACTCTATTCATATACAGAAATCTTTATTATATTACCATTTGTCTTCCTTCCTAAATGGTTGATCTTTTTTATCATTTTGAATATCTGAGATAGCCGTGGTTTGGTAGACTAGTATTGATACTGGGTGATGATTGAAGGTGGACCACGGTCGGATTCGAACAAGTGACCACCGGGTTTCCGGCACGATGCTCTAACAACTTAGCTACGAGGTCCAAATTTGTTCAGCGGTTAAATCTTCGTTTTTTTGATTTACTTGAGAAGATATTTAACAGACTTGACAAATGGAAGTGATTTATTGTCATGCTGTGAACAAAATTGCCCTGAATAATCAGTGATCTAATCACTGAATATTTTATGCATATAGCTGAAAAATTCACTAGATCATTAAATAAGTCATAAATACAACACATTGTTGAAAAGTTGCTCACTTTATGTAAGTTCTTCTCATTCTCTAACTGTGATATTAATATCTGTCTGTCACTTTCCCATTTAACATAATCACTGTCATAGTTTTGTTTTGTCCGAAGATAAATATTGTGGATAGTAGAAATTAAGGCTGCCACATGATTCAGTCGACTTTGCATCGCTTTATGGTTTTGTAAGTGAGTTAACTTCACTCCATTGACCAATTTAGAAAGCTCACTATTTTGTCTTCTGAGTTCTCTTTAAAATAATAGTGACACTGATAATAATTATAATAATAATGATAATAATAATTAGACTGAGAGATATTTCTTTCGAGGAAATGATAACAGTTGAACAACAATTAGGAACAAGATCAAACCAGGAAATGATTTTAGACATCCTTGCAATTTATCATCTATTCAGAGCTTCAATTCCCCCCAAGAGGAAAACAATGACTTTTATCTATTTGTTTAAATTTCAGAGAAGAACCTAACACATTAAAATTCAGCATATTCTTCAATATGATAAAACCCCTATTAAGAATACTAATTCTGTATACTGAAACACGCTAGCGAAAAGCTCAGTCCTTGAATTCCATAAGTGACAAACTGCTAGAAATGATGATTCATTTATTCCACCAATTGGTGTGAAAAAAACAAGATTTATTCAACCCATCCACAGTAGGATCTTTGGGCATAAGGCCAGCAACCCTACCCTAAAAAATCAATCAAATCGCTAAAGAAACTTCAAAGCACAAAAGAAATAGAAAAAATAAAATTAAACTTATTCCTTGCTGCAATCGGAGGGGCAAAATGACACCAGTTGGTGAAAGCCTTCGGGAAGCCAATTAGCCGATATCTCTTCACTCCCTCCATGAAAGCGAAAGTAAATATACAGACATGGAATGTCCGCACAATGTTTGAAGCTAGTAAAACTGATCAGATTGTAAAACAAATGAAAAAATATGACACAGAAGTGCTAGGAATCTGTGAGGTATCTGCAGATAGAATGGAAGTGAATTCTCAAAACTGTCAATCTACTTCGATATTGTCACCCACATGACAACCTTGGAGCACACTGAGTTTTGGAGTGGCTATCATGATGTCCTCAACAGCATCGAAGGCTCTCTCCCATGCAGTGGGAACCAATCTCCTCATGCAGGATCATGACAGCAAGCTTCAACTCAAAGGAAGGAAAGTCACAATCATACAATGCTGCGCTACGCACCCACAAATAATGCAAACCAAGAGAAGAAGGAGGAATTCTACAGACAACTGCAATCAACACTGGACAACACTCCAGTTGGCAACATCAAAATTCTAATGGGTGAGGTGACATGAATGCCAAACTCGGAGCGGAAAACACAGGAAGAGAACTAAACATGGGTCGAGAAGCGATCGGTGAGGTGATGAACGAGAATGGAGAACTGTTTGCAGACCTCTTGGAATTCAACGATTTCGTGATTGGAAGCAGTGTGTACGAACACAAGGATATTCACAAAGCAACATGGATTTCACCAGACAAACTAAAAATCAGGTCAATTTCATCTCAATCGGAAGAAAGTGGAGACGCAGCCTACTTGACACAACATCAAGAAGGGGAGCCGATGTAGGTTCACATCACTCACTATCTACTGCAAAGAACCTGCCTTCAAAATCAAATTGAAAGCCATCAAGAAGGTTGGTGATAGACCACAGTTCAAGTTCAACACACAGAACACAAACTGAAGGACGAAACTACAAAGGACATCTTCACGTCAGCCAGCCATCAAGACAAAATGGGGGATATCGAGCAACATACCTGAAGAAACCTGTGCGGAAGAATACTGGAACTCTTTGAAAGGGATATGGAAAGAAACCTGCATAACCGTATGAGGAAGGAAGAGGAAAGAAGATAAGGAATGGATCTCGACGGACACATAGAAGCTGATAGAGCAGGGAGAGGAGGATGGTGAAGTAGAAGGTGAAACAATGCAAGGATGAACAACGAAAGGAAGAACTGAATACAACGTATAAAACGCTGGACAAAAAAGTGAACTGCTGGTAGGAGAGACCTGACAACACTACATCAAATAACCAGGTTTACTATCGGGAAAGAGATCAACACAGATGAAACCAATGAAAGATAGTGAAGGAAGTTTAGTTACCACCAAAGAGGACAAACAAAGGAAACGATGAAATGGCCACTTCAAAAAACCCTGAATCGACCACCACCACCACCTGCAACTCGTCCAGAAATACCACCAGCAGCCCAGCCACAGAATTACCAGTGAACACAAAAATGCTCTGCATTCAAAATTACCACCGGGACACCCTGGCTGGCTTCAGAAAAAATAAACCATGTGCGGATCAAGTTGCAACGCTACACTACGCATCATCATAGAACAGAGAGTAGAATGACAGTCAACTCTACCTCAACTTCATTGGTTTTGAAAAGCCCTTCGACAGCGTCGACTGAAACGTAATCTGGCAGACAGCTGCTTGCTTCAACACTACGGTTTTACTGCCCTAAACCTTTATCAACCTCATTCAACAGCTATATCCGATATGATGCCACATGCCAAGTGATTCATAATGGAAAGCTCAGTGACGTCTTTGCAGTCAAATGGAGACAGGAGTAGGAAACGTTTGCCGCCTACTGTCACCACCGATGATATTCCTGATTGTGGTCGACTGGATCATGTAACAAACCATGAAGAGCGAGAAAAGAGGCATACGCTGGCTGGACCGATGAAAAGACCCTACAAGAAGATTTGGATGTCACCGCCGATGATGATTTATGTCTAATGCATTCTGTAGCACAAACTCGAAGATGTACAGGCAAAAACCAACAAGTTGACAGAAGAGGCGGGGCAGCGAAGGAAGACGGGACCTCCTTCAGGTGAACGTAGAGAAGACAGAAGTGGTGAACACACCCAACTAACAACAGCATCAACAACAAGCACCAATCACCATCTACGAGAGAAACCTAAAGGAAGCAGTCTCTTCCACCTACCTAGGCAGCATCGTTTCAACTACAGGCGGCACAGGCACAGATGAGGACGTCAAAGCCAGGATCGGAAAGACAACAATACAGGCCTTCATTAACCTGAAACCAGTATCCAGATCTACTACAATCCACTCCACTCCACTCAACATAAAGCGTGAACAACATCCGGATTCTCAACACTAATGTCAGTCAAGTCAGTCAGTGCTTCTATGTGATGGTTCAGAGACTTGGCGCGTTACGAAAAGCATTCCCAACAAACTGCAGACATACATCATCAACAGCTGCCACCTACACTCACTCGATACTGAAGATCAGATGGATGGCCAAAATAGTAGGAATAAGCAACAAAGAACTCTGGCCTGACAATGAACCAATCAAGAACCTATTGCCCAGCAAATTGGATTGGACATATTACTGGGAAGACCGTTTGGCGAAATCACGTGTCAGGCCAGGCCCTTGAGTGGAATCTGAATGGGAAACGACGAGTTGGGCGTCCGAGGGTGACATGGAAGAGATCGTGTGAGGAAGAAATGACAGTCAGTCATGGAGCCAGGTTAAAAAGACTGCAGAGAACATGGTGAAATGGGAACATGTTACTGAAGCCCTATGTTCCACCAGGAACCGAAGAAACAAATAATAATGATATATATATATATATGGCATATAATCCGTTGAGGCGAAAGAACCATGAAGGAAGAAGCTGACTTTGTCAGTTTTTCATTAGGTCAAAACGACCTAGAGTAGTGATATATGACTACAAATTTCATCAAGGGCGCAACTTTATTAATAATAACCACTCAAAGTAGCAGATATTTCGAGTGACAAGCAGAAAACAAGCTTTTTTCCTCTTGGTTCCACTCAGAATTACTACAACCAGTCAACTACACTTATAAAAACTCAGTTTATACAACGCATCCATTACTACGGGTAAACATTGAATATCATAATGTTCAAAGTAATCAGTTTATCCTAGTTAACCTCTCTTCTGTTGTACAGCGTAGATCCGCAACTAACAAGAACAGTTTGCATGTAAGTCTATAACATTCGTTGCAAATCTCAAAATAAAGTTTCTTTAACATCTAATTCATCGCAAATGAAGTGAAAAATCGGTCACTTTATATGGAAATCTGAAATTAAGCTTAGCTATGCTTTAGTCTGATGAAGCTGCCCCTTGTATTCACAAGATTAGTCGTAATAATATTTCATTTTCTTCAGCAGATGTTTCGTGAGCTTAAAGATGAAAGTGTTTTCAACAACACGCAACCTAACTCCTTGGTAGACTTACTGAATCATTACGATCTACTCGTAGATGTTCGTCGACGACGATTGATAGACAATAACACGAAGTTATCTGTTGTCGGTACCACCTATGTAGGTTTGAGTTTAGCCATAGTTAGAACTAAACACCCAGTCGACACGTCTTACCAGACAATTTTAGAGAAATATCCAGAGTCACGACAACCGATGCATACTCTGCCATGCATAACCAGCAATATGATGCATCACGTCACAACCACAGGTCCACCTGTGGCATCAAAAGCAAACAGTTTAGCCCTTATTAGGTCCAGAACGACGAAAAGCGAATTTGACCACATACTTGAACTAGACATTATCAAACCGTCAAAAAGTCCTTAGATATCGTCATTGCATACGGTTCCCAAAAAGGATAACAACGACTGGCTTCCGACCGGTGACTGCCAACGACCTAAGGTCATAACGATGCCAGAATGCTACTCGATACCTCACATCTACAACTTGACTGTCGATTTATGCGGAATGAACATATTCTCCTAGGTGTATCTAGTCAACGCGTATAATCTGATGCCTACGGCAGCAGAAGATGCCCGCAAGAAAAGCCATTACTACTCCTTTGGGACTATCTGAATTCTTCTGCATGCCTTTTGGTCTTCAGAATGCAGCACAATCATTCCAACGCTTTATGAATGATATCTTCTATGGTTTGGATATTTTCTACGTATGCATCGATGACTGTCTCATTGTGAGCCCAGATAAAGAAACTCATCTTAAACATTTAAATCTCGCATTCAGCAAATTGAGGAAACACGGTATCACAGTCAACATACAGAAATGTGGAATAGAAGTAGAATCACTCAGTTTCCTTGGGCATACTATTGGCAATAACGGTGTACACCCATTAACAGGTAAAGCGGCGTCTTTCATGAACTATCCAGAACCGACCACAGTAAGGCAGCTTCGCACTTTCAATGGCCTGGTAAGTTATTACGAAGGTTTATTTCTAACAATGCCTCTGTTATGACACCACTCACTAATCTACTTTAAGGAACTACGAACTGCTTGACTCTAAACAACGTGGCAAGACTTACTTTTTATTAGGTCAAGAAATCATTTTGAATACAACCATGCTAATGTTTCACGACTCTGATGCTCCTTTAAGTATTAATGTTGATACAACTGACTCAGTCACCGCAGTAGTTTTGCAACAGCTGACTGACAACCAGTGGCAGCTTTTCTTCTTCTTATCAAGGCGGCAGAAGGAGGTTGAAACAAGTTATGATACATTTGGTAGGGAACTCTTAACTTTGTACTGTTCTGTAGGCTATCTTCGACATTCGGTTGAAAGTCATGATTATTTTTACAAACCACTAACCTTTTTTATTGGCTTAGCATATAATAAGTACTTCCCATGTGAGTAGTAACAACCGGATTACATTTCCCAGTTCATCTCAGATATCTTCCATATATCTGGATAAAATAACTTCTTAGCCGACACATTATTTCGAATAGCTTTGATAAACCATATCGTAGGTGTTGATCTTGTGAAACTAGCTCGGTTTTAAAACGATCTTGAGCTGAACCATTAGTTGTCCTCCACAACTCTCAAGCTACGACCGTGTGCAATAGAACCAGGTAAAGATACCGCTTTATGTAATGGTTCCGCCAGCCGACCATGCCCAACAGTTTCTAAAAAATGTCGATGCAACATCTTCAATACGTTGCACAAGCTGTTTCATCTAGGTGCACGAGCCACCATTAGACCCTCTTCACAACGTTTCCGCTAGCCTGGAGTAAACAAAGATGTTAAACAGTGGGCCCAGTCATGTGTAGATTGCCAAACGTACTGTCATACAACACAAGAAAATGGCTTTAGGTTCTTTTGTAGCCCCAGACATGCGTTTTGACCGCGTCTATATAGATATTGTAGGAGTCCTACCAGAATCTAATGGATACATTTACCTTTCCGCTTACGTGGATCGTTCTACAAGATGACCGGAAAGCAGTACCTATTAGGGATATTAGTACTGAAACTGTAGCTCGTGTTTTCGTAGAAAGATGAGTTACAAACTTTGGATGTCTGTCTTACGTAACGTGCAAGCTCGAGTTTGGATTATTTCACACTTAAACAGCACTTTTAGGTTGCACTCGGTTCCGAAAGACAATCTACCATCCACCAGCAAATGTTATAGTAGAACGTTTCCATCGACAGCTGGAAGCTTCTCTCTTGGCAGCAAACAGGCTTCAGTAAACCGAGTATCCGGGTGTCCAGGGAGCGATAGAAGCTGGTGCTTGAGGCTCTCCTGAAAAACTCGTCTATGGGACTACTCTTCGTCTACCAGGTGAGTAGGTTCCCCTTCAAATTTCACAAATGTTTCTAACAAAACATCCTACGCGACTAAACTTACGAACGCAATGCGTTCAGTCAGGTCTACTCCTGTTCGATTTCAAACAACTGATGTCATTGTTCACTCCGCTTTACAAACGACATCATACGTTTTCATACGCCACAATGCCATTCATCGACCGTTTGAATCACCGCACGATGGACCATTTAAACTCATCAAGTGGCACAAAAAGTCAATATAGTCGAGCCAAACAGACATGAACATGCTGTTAGTAATGACCATTTGAAGCCAGAAAACTTCGAAGGTAACGCCATCGTAAGAGACGTTTTTCCTCACTATAGCTGACCGGTAAACAACCCAACTATCGGAATTTTCGGCGATACGCCTGGTAATACATAGATACAAAAACCATCTGTACAACAACAAAATATCAGTTCTAACTGTTAGGTTCTGGGATTGTCTAAAGACATACTCGACTGAGTAGTGACGGTAAAAATATGCAAATTATTTTTAATTTTCAAGTTCTTTTTAAAGCGCCATTTTTACTATAAATGCAAAAAATTTCTCACATCTTATCTTTTTAGTCTCAGTTTTCGCCACCAAGTGGTTATATATTTTTCCAAAAAAAAAATAATAGAACTAAGCATCAAAACGTTTTCGTTGTTTCCACATACAGCGTATGAATGTTACCCATTCTCACAGAACTTTTTCGTGATATTGGAGACCTTTGTTTCTATTCCAGATGCAACAAGCACTGAACAGGATGTCAAGGCACAATGGGGGTTGCGATTGGTCTGCCACTTCATTTGTAGTTTTTTAACGACAACCTGGGGTCACTCCTAGCAGTGAGCCCATAAGAACGGTTTACTTAGTAGTGAAACCACTGGGTTCTTACTTACTGCTGATACTGCCTTACGGTCCTCATGAGCCCACTAAAAAGGAGTGATCTATAGCGGCACATTATTCCTCCAAAATAAATACACCAGGTTACGAAGAGATTCAACATTGATACTGATCTTCAGTTTTATCGGACTCACTAAGCCGAAGGCACACGATCAAGCATCTACACCATTTCGCACGTTGTCGTGTTGAGATGCGCCGCTCATAATCGATCCTATAGTAAGCTAGTCGGAAAGCATTGGTATTTTGGCCCGAACACTCAAATATACTATTCCGTCTGCATAAGACATTGTGTTCCTTGATCTCCCATTCGTGAGTGTATTAGGGGTAAAAGTAATTTGTGATCGATCTCCGTTTAACAAGTTTTTTTAAGCTGTCAAGAGGACAATTCCTAAAATACGATACGTCTATATTTAAGCGAGACAAAAACAAGTAGTCCTAACGAACCTTAACTTAGAGGAAATCTCATCAAGGCGTTCTTCGTCGTAATAATCAGCGCTTGTGTTCTTATCCTGAAAATTGTCTCTCAATTCAGTTTGCGTATATATGTTTGTCTTCGAGATATCATTTTCTGACTGTTTAGCTGATGTATGACTGAAGAGTTCGTAACTTAGACTATCCAATGTTGATCGTAAGACACGATTATTTAATTCGGCATCAGCAGCTCTAGAATTAAAATCTTACATGTGAGTACAAAATACTAGCCTCTGCTGACATTCCAAAAGCTTTTCTGTAAGTTCTTGATTTTTGCCTAATTCGGACAATAACTTGTATTCAGCCAGCTTGCGATGTTCCATTTCAGAATCAGCCCTCGACTTAAGGATCATAATCAATTCAGACTGTTCGTTCAGTCTTGATTTCAGTTCGGTAACATCTAGAGTCATTTTTAAGACTGAAGCTGCCTACGGTTGAAAGCGACCTAAACATTTGGGGAGTTATAACAATATTCCCTCTAGTATTCAATATCTCGTTTAACAACTTATAAAAACATACTGGTTTCGTGCTCGATTCCGGATATCAAAAAATGGTTGGGGTATTTGCTGAACTCCAGTATATTATATCCAGTCTTTCGTTCACAGTAGATCTAATAAACCCAGTGAGTGTTTCGGTTAGATTTGTCGGGTGATGTATGATTTGTGCCTGAATCGGGGTGTAGATAAGTTTTTTAAACATCTTACTGGCAGACCGCTATTTGGAGTGGTCCCTGAAAAAATATAAGGGGATCTAGAAATAACCGAGGCCAGAAAGTTAAGGGAAACAAGGAAAGATATAGTCAAATTTAGAGAATCCAGTTTAATATGCAGCGTCCGTTTTACTACCTTGTACAAACTGACTGATTTCTTTGCACCCACCTCTAAGTCTTGGAGAATGGCTTCAGCTGTGTGCCTGATTCCGAAGCGGTAGATTCATCCACTCTCCTTTAGTTGTGGTAAAACCTACGGGCGGTTGGTCGTCGGCCAAATTTGTCAGAAAGCTCATGATTTACCCTAAAACTCTGGTGTAGGTGGGTGCCTCAGGTGTAGTGTCATCAGGAGGTTGTTTGAACTGTTCCCAAGAGGATGGTAGGGAGAATTCAGAAGCAACTTCGAAAAACAAATGTGGAACTAAGTAGAAGCAAAAAATGAAGGGAACGTGATGAAAGGGAAAATCTGGGTAAATTCAGGGAATGCGGAATATAAAACAGTGATATGCTGAACCTGAGTAGATAATATAAAAATAATAGAGGTTCAGAAAGAAGTAATACAGCGGGTAGGATCTTAGTGGGTACAGTGGGAACAGATTTATCTATGATACTTTTGTTGGAATGTTAGCTGGATACGTTCAAGAGAGAAGTATAAAACTAAGCCAATTTCGTGGTAATAAAGACTAAATAAGGGAATCAGGATGGGGAGTCTTGTGCTGGAACGGTATGAAGTCAACCGCTTCTTTTGATCCAGTCCACATCGGTAGGCGATAAGATGACTTTCTCTAGGTTTTCACAAAGGCTGCAATAATGATCGTTCGATAAAATTCCACTGTTCCTGTTGTTTGAGTTACTCAGCCTCTTGTAAGCTGACATCAGGTCACGTAGTTAACCGCAGTAACTAAGAGAGTAGAAGCCCAGATCTTTTAACTTATACTCGCATGGAATTTCAGCCTTACCACGTCACACTTCATGGTTCACTCCTGGACGTCCTCGGGGAGACTGCATCTCCTTTCACGTGTGGTGGTGTGATGACATTGCTAACCTATCGGCAAAGTCTTAAATAGGACTCATCAACAATCGGTAGGAACCACGGGTTTACAGATATCTGTTCATCTGTGCGCGAAGTTTGGCACCACACAGGTTCTGGAGGCGCCACCTGGCTAATTCATACTAGTTTCTAGTTCTAATATGTTACACACCACAGGGAAAATCGGATAAGTATTGATTACTGCAAGTGATTGTAAACGCGGTCTGGTAGTTATTCAAGTTTAACCCTAATCCACCGCCATCCACCCACTAAGTAAACATTCTGGAGCCGCCTTGTACTGTGCTAGATTCCGTTTTCAAACCTTCCCATAGTCCAACATAGTTTTCAAACAGCACAGTTGGAGGTCTAAGACTCGGCGGAAGGTCATTAGCGAAAGGTATGGACAACGATGGAACCCGAAATGTCCTTCTCAATAAAAAGGACGACGATGCTGTCCATGTTCAGCAAACTCCGTTGACCTCTTCTTGGTACACCTAACCGTCTAGTCAGTATGTCATCTAACTGATGAGACCCGACTGCGCCAAGTTGCGCATAGGAATAGCACAAGGAACCAAACTGAAGGCCCTGGCAAAATGGAGAAAACCCACAGGCCAGCTTGAGCACCAATTAGTGCTCCATTATTCGAAGTATCCTCCGTTGCGATAGTCCATCAGAATTTCCAAAAGCTTTGACAACACTGGTGAGTTTCGTTGTTGTACGCAACAATAAGTTCAAACAGTCAGTGACCACACCTGTAAACTAGTTTGTCTTCGCGTAGCATATGTTGTACAAAATATATTATTACTATGACAGCTGCCTGCATCTGTAGCTGAGGAGTTACTTACAATCTGTGTAGCCCTCCTACACTGGGTAATGTTGAAGGTTATTCAGGCAGTCAGTAGAACTACTTGGAAGGCGGAATGTCAAGTTATTCATCAACAGTAACCCCATTGTTTCGGCTTCTCTAGCTCTGAGAGGCTAGGGTTTTTCATAACGGTTGCTCTCAGGCCGGTGAGCTTACTTGCTTCGAATTGAATTGGACCCCTAAGGTTCGCCTCCAGGTGCTTGGACGGGAATCGTCCGACCCCTATCTCTCTCACGTGACACCAGCCTCTTGGGACCGTAAGCAGCCTAACTTCTTCTGCAGTCCCCACTCGCCATACGCTCTCCTTCTGGCTTGCAAGGGCTGCTCACTGTTTTACTTTAACCCTGAGATCCGTTTCTCAGGCGATATGGCCACTAAAAGGGCATTTACGGTGATAATAATCTGCGTCGCTATTCCCTGCTGATGGTCAGTCCATAAAGAATGCCATCGTTTAGGTCGTAGAGCTATCACCAGGCATCAGTTCATCGCCACGCTGTGGGGAAAATAAGGCCAAGATCTCTGCCGCACCAAACGCTACGTTGGCATGATCGCTTCTGCCGAGATTAACTGCAGCGCTTTCCACCAGCGAGCCATGGCTAACCTATACGGCTTTTTGCTCGTCATCCACTACACACCACCACCGATCTTTTCATAAAGCACAGCCTTTTAGAGAACTTGAAGCAGATTTCGATCGAAAGTCAGTCGCTTTCCCGACCCAGGTTGAGACTCCGGGTGTTGAAGTTCCCTTCTACGACAATCTGTTTTTGTACCTTACATTTGCGGCTGTCGATATTACTCCAGGGCTTCTTCTGCTTCCGCTCGATGTTACTACCACGAGGTAATGTGTCAGCAGGCGGAGTCTGGAAGAAGCCGTAGCAGTGTCAGCGGGTTTTCCGCTGTCGAAGCGGCTACTGATTTGCACTGTTACCCTACCTCCTTCCTTGTATCCTATATCTCTTCTGAAGAACAGCATGCCGTCTACAATTTCTCGGATATCGCAAACGTCTCACCCAGTATCTGCCAGGATTATTATTTCTCTCTTTAGGCTGGAATAAATCAAGGTTTAATCTGGCATTCTGCGTCTAAGTCTTCCCAGGCAGCAACGAAATGAACTTCAGGGTGACAATAATAATATATCTCGAATGATGAATTTTGCGAAGACATGCCATTTTCGCAGACAGTATCTAAATGTTGTTTCCTTACTGGGGCTGTAAAAGTTGAGAAAGAAACGAACCATCGTGCCATACAAAGTCTTCTGGGGTACACAATTGTTTAGATATTGCTTATCATAAATTTTGTGTGAGGGCGATACCCTTAAGCAACAGTGGTTGAAAATTAGTGGGGGCATGCTATTTCTGACAACACGGGGTGCTTCTGCCATTTCAAATCTCAGAGGTGTCTTCGCTTCATTGGAAGGAACTACTGCTATCTGGCAAGTTCTGGTGAAACTTTTCCAGTTCTATTCGACTACTGAAGTCGCGGTTGCTTGGGGGCTGTTATTCTTATACTGGTTGTGTCATTAGAGAGTAATTTGGCTTCGGAGCCAAGATGGACCACTGCCTGCCGCTGGCACACTTTTCGATATTGCCTTCTACAGCGAATAATATTCGCACTGGTGGCGTCTTAAATTATGGCGCGTACATGAAAGGCTTTATGAGAGCTACCGACGTCCCTAGTTAACGAGCAATTAGCGATTGTGAAAGTGTAGCTGTCAAATGAGGGAATCATTAGCGCCTACAGATCTTAGGCGTCGACAACCCACTCCGCCCTATTCATGCCGGCAGTTGTTGTCATCGCTGAAAGCCATTACACTATATTTGTTCGAGAGCCTTGGTCATCAATCCTAAAATTCCTTGGACGACTATGGGTGTGAGTCCCTGAATACTGATTCCTTCCCAAAATGTCCTTACCGGCTATCATCTATCCAGTATAGTTTTCATGCTAGGTGGCATCTTCATGATCGTAGGTGATGGGGTAGTGGAAACGTTTCCTCTTACTTTGCTGAGCCTAGAGTCACCCTCGCAGGCAGGGACTTATTCGATGGCGAATGGCTGCTTCGTACAGCCAATACGGTTTTGTATCTAAGGCCTCCCAAACCTATTCTGCAGCGCGCTACATCAAACTTCTGTTTATCGAACCGTTCTATTTGTTCAAGTAGGTTGTTGTCGCTCGCAGGGACGTTAAGCAGGATTGTGCGGTTCAGATGACAACCAACTTTTGTATTATCATGTGCTATAGATAAGTCTTTGTCAGCAAATCATCTCTCCACTTTCGTCGGTTTTTTGAGGGCTTAACCACTTTTCCACACTTGGTTGACTTCGGGGTCTTAGGCTGGTGCGGCTGGCATCGCGACTGGCGGTCGTTCGATAGCCTTTGGAACGTTTGCTAATGCAACCGCCAGTATAACTGCACTACCCTCATGGCATATCTTCCCTTCATAGTAGTAGAAGTAGTAGTGGGGTTGGATATTTGAAGTAACAGTAACTGGGGTGAACCATACAGTCCGTAATAAGGTTGTAGCGGAAAATGGGCTTATGTGACACCACGAGAAAGTGTACCAGATCCACGTGCCGAACGGTACTTAGCAAGGGAATGATAATGATTCAGTATATCAACGGTGTAACCACCTCGTGGAGAGGTTGTACTCGAATGTTGTGTAGCTTCCAACTACAGTAAGGTCATAGATATGAAAACCATCTCTGTGGCTGCCCGGTTTCACCGGGAGTTTTTCACCAGTTCCACATCGTTTTCGCTCAGCGGTCTTAGCAAGTTCTCTGGGGTTAGAGTTAGATGTGCTGAAAAAGTCTGCGTTCCGCTAATCGATAAGAGGAGTGCTTACAATACTGGGAAAGCTAAAGATCTGGCCATTTTAT